TGTCATATTGTTCTTTTGCTTACATATTTTGGTTTCCATTTTTGTGGATTTGCGTGTTTCTTGATTTTGTTTTGTTTTATTTTATTTGATTGTTTTTTAAAGAGAGAAAGAAAAGGTGTGGAGTTGGGCGGGTAGAAAAGATCTGGGAGGAGTTGAGGGAGGAGAAAAGCATGATCAGAATATATTGTCTAATTTTTTTCAAAGAAATCCTAGATTTTCACATTGAAAAGGAATTTTAGAACACTTAATAGAACTTCGGCTACCTGATAAAATTAATTTATACAAGGGTACTATAAAATAATGAGTTTAAGTTAATATATTTACTTATTACATGTGAAAAGAATTAATAAATTCACTTATATTCTTTTCTAAGTTGACTCGCTGCCCAGTCGTCTAGCCTTATGAACAACAGAGTTAGGAATAGCAGTGTGTGTCTATGCAATTTCTTCAAGGCCGTCTCCTGGTCAGCAGAGCTATGAAGGGTATTGTGTTCCTTTATTATGATAATGGGGAAAAGGAATGAAAGGAAGGACAAAATCATGTTAGATGGGTATAGCCGAGCAAGCATACCCCCACCCCACCCACAAACCCACCCAACCAACCCAGTTGTTGGCACCAGGTGAAGCAGGGACCTCAGCCAACCAGGTGCACTAACAGGGAACTGGTACAGAAGTGCCACAGGGGGGCAGCACAACACCAGAGTTTCTGACAGGTTGCAGGGCCAACAGCATCCCTGCCTTTCTGATGCTCTCCAAACCTTCCTCCAGACTGCCCCCCACAGGATCACCAGGGAGCACTACTCACAGAGCTCCCCAGTGCCTCCCACAGGATCACCAGGGAGCACTACTCACAAAGCACCCCAGTGCCTCCCACAGGGCCAGCAGGAAGTACTTGTTGAACAGCTCCACGGTGCCACACACAGGGGATGAACTCAATGCTCAGGCCAGTTCCAGATGTGAGTCACAGGGAAAAAAATTACTGCACATCTACACACCCGACTTTCTTCTCTCTATCAGAAAGCGCTGATTCACACGGAATATGTGGTTGTTATGGGCTGCCATGCCACTGTTTTCTTAGATTTGGGCATTAAGATTTGGGGGTAGGGGTTGTTTGCTTTTAAAATAGTGCCATTCCTCCTAGACTGACCTCTAACTCTCCATGCTGGAAGATGACCTTGTCCGCCTGATCCTCTTGTCTCCACCCCACAATACTGGGTTTCCCAGCATGCTCTACCTGGTTTATTTTCTGCTGGGCAAGAACCCAGGGCCAAAAACCAGTGTGCATGCAAGGTACATCGAGAACTAGTCCTGTTGTTCGACTTCTGTGTTTGAGAGAGAGAGAGAGAGAGAGAGAGAGAGAGAGAGAGAGAGAGAGAGAG